GAGGGGTGGTTCGGGCTGATGATTGGTCTTGCGTTACCACCGAATCAACTGCGCCACGCGCAGATGATCCATTCCTCAGCCCAGCCTGATCCATTAGATAGCCGCCGAACCCCTCATCTCACGCAGAATCTCACCTCCATTTCCCCCCGAAGCGCTATTTCAAATATCTCATAATCAAAAATCATTCTCCGCAGTTCAGCTCTGTCCTCTCGTGAGATTTCCACGTTGCTGTCACGTCCTCCCATCTTCAACATCATGAACCCTTATCAGTATCCGCCTTTGTCGGGCCCCAGGTGCACACGATTGATCCGGCTGTATTCTGGGACGACGAAAGATCCGTCATGTCCACTCAGCTGCGACCTCGACGAGATTGACTTGGACGATCCGCCAAAATACCTTGCTCTTTCCTACACATGGAATGGCGAGACTCCTAGCGAACCGCTCACGATTGGGAATGCGCAATTCGGCTCCAGCCCAGCGGCGGGCTCGCAGCTGCTTATCACGCCCAACTGCGCCGCCGCTTTGAGAGCTTGTCGGAGGTCCCTCCATCGACGCATCAACAGGCGCAAATGCGTCAAGATATGGGTGGATGCCATCTGCATCAATCAAGGCTCAAACGACGACAAGAGTAGCCAGGTTGCGATGATGGCCGAGATTTACAACCAGGCAAAAAGGGTGGTAGTTTGGCTTGGAGAACGAGACTCACCTTCCACATCAAGCACTATCATTTGCTCTTCGGCGTGTGCTTTATTACCAGATGTTGATATGGGACGTCTGGGTGATTTTTTCGACTGGATAGAACGCTGGAAGGCTTTCAAGTGGCTAGAAACTTTCGTCGAAAGACTAGAGGAACTGATCGCAAACGCTGTCCTTCAGAATTGTGAGTCAAACATTCATAAGCCCGTGGTGACGAGTCACAAGTATCCATTAACGTTTCATGTTGTTTGTGCTCACAACTGGCGCAATGATAGGCTGTGATAGAAGCACAATCCACGCTATGCTACAAAATTCCTACTGGACTCGTGTCTGGACCGTTCAAGAGTTCGCCAATGCTCATGTTTCTATTCTTTGTCAAACCTCAAGTATGATATCCTGCGCTGGCATGATGAAGATGATTTTCCTTGGCCGCCATATCTTGGCACCATATACATATCCGCCCCACCATCGCATTTACACCGACCGCAGAGTATTCGGGGGCTACAGCCACGATATTCTCACTTTCTCCAACGGCTTTGAGGCACTTTCAGCGTTACAAGCTTCAGAGCCAAGGGACAAAATATTCGCGTTTCGCGCCTTTTCTGCTAGAGTATTTGCAAAGGTTGCAATCGACTACAGGCGACCGTTGCAAGACCTTTTTACAGAAACCTCTATGATTGTCATCAAAGAAACTAACAGTATCTATCTGTTATACTTTGCAAGCCTTGAGAGGACGTCTCCGGGTACCGGGACTGGCTTGATGCCATCGTGGTCATATGACTTCGGGACAAAGGACTTTCATGAAGAATACCGTGGTACCCATATAGATCAATCCAGATCTTTCGATGCCTCACGTGGAGTTCAGCCCTGGATATACTTTCCCAATCCTGAAAAAACCCTCCGCGTGCGTGGAAGAAGTGTCGGTGTGATAGGAGGTCTCACTGGCAACATCGACCCGATAGGCAACTCCTGGCTGATGGAGAAAACGGCCATGGGAGATGCGTCTCAGCAGGTTGACGACGATGGCGCAAACAGCGTCGCAACAACAGAAGAAAGTTACAGCACTCGTTTGAGAAAGCTAATGGAGCATTTTATCTCCATGCTTCATCAAAACCTTGGAGCAGCCTTGTTGGAGGCCAAGATGGCACAAACGCTTTTCGAGCTTGCGCAGAGCATCGCAGCAAGCTATATCGTGCCAGTCACAATACCTTCTTTGCCGCCGAATGCTACTTTTGAGGACCTCCTTGAGGCTTTGTGCGATGATTTGGACATAAGCCACAGTATCAAATACAACATGGGGGAAGGTCGCATGTTCTTCACAACCGATGGGCGAGCTGGTCTAGGAGTGCCGTGTCTATCCGAGGGCGATGAGGTGTTTCTGATCGCTGGTCTAAAGCACCCGTTTGTTCTAAGACCGCATGGCGATTATGGAGAGTACACACTCGTGGGGCCGGCAGTTGTCACTGGGATGATGAAGGGGGAGTTGTGGCCGGATGATGAAAGCGAATTACGGGATATAGACATTGTATAATATTCACTGCTAGCGGCCACTTTCAACCTATGAACAGACGTATGACTTCGAGTCATCAGGATTTGTGCCAGCCAACTGTGCCGTCTGTGGCCAGGGGCAAAGCTTCCTCGTCCTGCTGCTTCCATCTGCCGGCTCGCTCCCAAGCAATTCGGTCGGTGCTGAGCCCTTCTCGACCCAGTCAACCAGCGCCTCGAGCGAACTCTGCTTACTGGGAACTTGAGGATACGACGACGCCCCGCCACAGTGACCGCCTCCTGCGCAAATATTAGTCTCGATCTCTCTCCGACTTGAGCTCGTAACAGCTTACCAGGAACCATGAACAACGAAGCCCAATCTTTTCTATCGCCAGTAACCATCTCCACGTCCTCCAAATGCTGGATAGGCCACGTCGCAGCATTGTACGGATCAGCCCATCCTTGGGTAACAATCAATTTGCCCCCGTGCCCCTTGAACGCAGTCAAGTTGGTGCTGATCGAGTCGATCAAGCTTCCAACCTTCTCATCCAGCGCCTGCACATCGCTGGCCCAATCAAACGTGCTGCCGTTGTAGCTCAGATCGTCAAAGACCATGTTCTGCAGCAGAGGAAGCGAGAAGGAGAGGGACAGACGGCCCTCTTGGTTGATCCACTCCGACTCGCTGCCGAGGTCGAAGCCGGGATACAGGCTGGCCTTAGTTTGAGAGTGACGCGGGCCGGCGTAGATTTGCTGGGCAGCGGTAATCTGAGCAGGGGTGAGACAGGTTGAGGTGTTGGTCGAGGAGGAGGTGCAGGCGAGCGTGGAGAGGTCGAAGGAGCAGGCCAGAGGGTTCTCGATGACGCGATCGGCCACGCCGTCCAGGATGTCGCACTTGTCGAGGATGGAGTTGCGGATGAAGGTGAGCGTTTCCTGGGGAATGAAAGCGGAGTCCTGAGAAGCGTGAGTCAAGTTCGTCTTACTGGCTCGTATTGGCTACTAACCAGAGACACCTGCTGATTCCACAAGAATGAGAGAGCGAGGTGAGAGTACCAGTTGCCAGGGCACCCAGCGACGATGCCGTCGAACAATTCAGGGTGATACTCAGCCAGGGCAAAGCCTTGAGCGCCTCCAGTCGAGCAGCCCTTATAATAAGCATGCGACGGGGCCTCAGCGTAGTAAAGGCTGGCAATTTGCTTTGCCGGGGTGGTGAAGAGCGCAATCGAGTTCCTGATCCACGCGAGAACCTGGTTTCGATCATGCAGAAATGGGAGGTAAATCCCTCCGGGGTAAGCATCACCGCCGTTGTTATCGGCCGCGCGGTGTCCGCTGTCGCCTCCCGCTGTGGCAAATCCCTTGTTGAGGTTCTCTACCATTGCCGCATAGTCAATCGTGCCAGCCAATCCTCCGTTGCCTACCTCACGTTAGAGTCTTTGAACCTCATCATGGTCTTTCGATTGACTTACCGACGGCAAGGAATCTTCCATTGTAAGATGCACTCTCAGGCAGCCAGACTTCAAAGAGGACGGTGTTGTTCTCTGGATACGGAACAGTGCCGTTGAATCGACAGAAAGACGCCGAGTTGAACACTGAAGAGACGTTCAGGCTATTCGCCGATACAGCAGCGGAGCTAACCGAGGTCAACTCTGGCACCGAGGCCTTTACCTGTTCCGCGAGAGACTTGCAGTCGGGGCTTCCGGTGGAGGGCGCCGCAATTGAAGCCGGCAAGAACCAGGAAGCGAGTGCTAGAGCGGACAACATGATGTAGATGACCGAGATCCAACATGACCTACTCCGGGAACCGGAAACATGTTTCAATGGAAGCGCGATGGCGCCCTTTTTGTATTCCCCCATCTTGAAGTCATCGCTTGCCTGTCAATAAGTGTGGATATGCCCTAAACTGCCGGTATCTGCTCCGCTACCCCGTTACTCCGCACGTTGAGCTTCAGCCTTCCTCGCAGATTCAAGTCTTAACCACGTGGCTGGGTCCCTCTTCGGTCACCGGCGCCGTGGCCGACGATCACCTCGCTGTGGAGATTCGTAGTTGAAGAGGAAGTCTTTAGCCGAAAAGTGCTAGAGACCAATGATAACCGGGAATTTTAACCACGTAGGAGGGGATGTAGTAGTTACGGGGGAGGTTGATTACCAGAACCTCGGTCAACGGCGCCGAAGCCCGCTTCTTCGTCAAGAAAGTGGAGAGGGCTCTTCACTCATGTGCTCGGGACGGGCTAGTTGACTGGCGCAATTGGAAGGGTAGATGCAATTCTCCGCGTCGGTTGTGGTATTTCTCCGCACGTGGGTGGCATCGCGAGCGGATCTATACAAATGTCAGTTGCTCCTTCGCGCGGGGTTATTACCAGGAACGCGGTTGCTGGGATTCTGGGATAAACGAAGCGCCGGTTCCTGTTTGGATTGAGCAAGTCTACCACCGACTCAAGTTCCTGGTCTGGCCGTCTTGTAATGACGTCTATCGTTCCCCGCTACGAGTTGGAGACGAAGTTCGGAACCCTTGTCAGCTCGGATGTGACGTCAGAGTAGTTCGCACATCAACACGCGAGTCAAAATGTTTGGAAAATGCATTTGCTTGATACGATGAGGCTTCCGGCCCAGTTGCGAACTCAGATCTATCAAAGATGATGACCATTCATGATTGAAAGAAAAGCCATCACTCAATGGTGCCGAGTTCCGATGCAGCACAAACAAATGTGGGCCCCACAGCTCTCCCTTCTCCACGTTCCGGACGTGGTTCGTCGGCAATTGAACTGCTGATCCCCCTAACCATGCCTCACATCATCATTGCCAAGACGTAGACACGACCAACCATGTCCTCGGTGCAGGTGCCGCCCCGAAAACGCCGGAAGACGCAGCTCGCGTGCAACCCGTGCCGGGCTCGAAAGTCCGGCTGCGACGGGACGCGCCCGGTGTGCACGGCGTGCCAGAAAAAAGGGCTCCAGCAGCAGTGCACCTATCAGGAGTCGGTGCTGCACGCATCTTCGAGGCCGTACGTGTCAACTCTTTCCAGTCCATCGATGATGCTGATGATGATTTAGGACAATTTCAGAACTTCAAAAGAGGTTGGAGAGGCTTGAGGGGTCGCCTCTTCCACAAATATCTGTGCCTCCGAGTGGCAGTCCGCCTTTGCCGGATTCCGGAGCTTCCGGAGTTTCCGGAATCGCTCCGGCACGGCTAATTGACATCGGAGTTGAGACTGGTCTCGGCGACACAGGCCCGGGACTCCGGCCGAGGGTTTTTGAAGGCATGCCGGCAAGCCATCATCAGCGGAATGGATCGACGTCCCACAACGAGGATGAGACCATCTACGGCCCCTCTTCAAACATCTCATTTCTCCGACAAGTCACTCTTGCCGCGGATGCGCAGAAGCCAGATGACTCGGGCCCAGATGGTCCCGGAAACGAGACCGAGAGCACGCCTAACGTCCTCGGCTTCTCCACGGTCCAACCAAAAAGCCCCGATCCCCTCCCTGAACCGGTGATGCTACCCGAGAGATGGCTTGCCGACAGCTTGATGGAATCCTTCTGGGAGTTCGTGCATCCCGTCTTCCCAATACTGCATAAGCCATCCTTCATTGCATCATACGAGGCCCTTTGGAAGCCAACGAAAGATCGAAACCATAAGCGGGATTTCAAAGACGTCGTGTTCCACTCGACTCTCAGCATTGTGCTTGCGCTTGGGTCTCAACGAACCGATCAGGTGTCTGTAGCGGAGCAAGCGAGCCTCGCTGATAAGTTCTACAAGCAGTCTGTGAAGCTCATATCGGTAGACACTCTCGACCACTCTTCATTGCAAGTAGTTCAGCTGCTACTTTTAAGAGGCGTCTACCTTCATTACACGTCCTACGCTGATCGCTGCTGGAATACTGTTGGTATCGCAGTGAGGGTAGCCCAGGGGCTAGGATTGCAAAATGAAGGGGACAAAATGTTCACAGCAAATCAGCTCAAACGTGAAATGAGGCGACGTGTTTGGCATTGCTGTTTGACTTTGGATAGGTAAACCGGTCTACTCTCCTTCCTCCACCGTGCTCAGAGCTAATGCAGAATGTCAGGCTTACTGCAACTACATTCGGGCGATCCGTCTTGTTGTCGAGGCAGTACTCGACACCGGCTCCAGCCATCATTGATGACGAGTACTTATCAGACACTACCGAAGGAATCCAGGCAGCACGTCGACCATCGTACCTAGCTTGCTTCGTGCACTCCCTGGCCTTGTTTGATGTCTTAAAAGAAATTTTGACCAAGTTCTACGGCGAAGGAGACTGCTCTGCAGACCTGAAATCGCGATCTCTCAGCGACGTACTTCAGCTTTCGGCAAAGCTAGACGACTTGAACGACTCGTTTCCGGTCTATCTCAGAGAAGATGCTGGCCTGACCCAGTATGATGAAAGTCTCAAAGGAAGCTTGCAGATGCAGGCGAATATCCTGAAGTCAAGGTAGCAGCACCCATCACTGTATCACACATCACGGGGGATACTGACGTTGAACACAGAGTCCTTTGGATACGGCTTCTACTCCTGCGTCCATTGCTCTTGGTAGAAGCCAAACAGACAGGCCAGTACAGGAGGGATATGCCCAATTCATCGGCACTGAGCGATAGCTTTCGCCATGCCGCAAACACGCTTTGTGTCTCCACAGCTCATGGCGTGCTCCAAGAAATGTACGAAAAGCTAGGGAGTGTGCGCCAAAACTCAGCATGGCATGTGTTGCTATGTAAGCTTTTTCCCTACCAATCCGCCCAGCTTGATATATAACCTAACGGATACGGTAGTCACCTTTGCCGCGGCATCCACCCTAGTCGTGGCAACTCTGTGCCCTGATCTCCAAGTCAGCTTTGACACCGAACCCACCAAAACATCTTGGGATCGTGCACTTCGGATATTCGACTTTCACAAAAGGCATATAACGTCAGCTACAAGAGGTATTGAGGTTTTGCAACGCTTCCGGGACTCGGTTGCTGCTGTGTCGCGACAAGATGCACTAGTGGGTTCAAATGGGACAACTTCTCAAGCTTCAAACCCTGAGGGGCTTCAAGAGCAGGCCCAGGGTGACTTACTGCTGCCCTTCAGCTCCATGCCTGGCATGAGTCAAACACCAATGGCTCAGGACTTTGGCGACTTCCTCAGTTCTGATCTCCTCAATGAGAGCTGGTTCAATATGCAAGGTATAGACTTTAGTAACTGGTCAAGTTTGCAATGACCAAATTTCACGGCAAGGGGACAGAAGTGTCATCCAAATTACAATGCTTAGCTATCTGCTCGCGCTACATACCCAACCGGCTTAAACAAAGTCTAGTACATGAAACACCATCTAAGAGACAGGCGCCTCAGAGTCGTGGAAGCTACCAAGCTTCAGCAGCTTCTTCGCATTGTCCCTTCCAATCTTGCGGTAGTTCTCCACACCACCAACCGCCTCCTTGACCTCCTCGGCCTTGCCGTCCCACCAAGCGGAGCAGTTCTCTATCGTCTCGTAGGGGTAGTCGACGCTGAACAGCACACGGTCAGCACCAATCTCATCGACTACGTACTTGAGCGTGTGCGTCGAGAAATGACCACTGGTGGTAACCCAGATGTTCTGCTTGAAGTAGTCGTAGATGGTCTTCTTGCACATGTTGTCCTCGTTGCCCTCATCCTTGGCGATGGGCTTCTTCACATCCTCAAACCAATGGTTGATGCGCCAAAAGTCTAGTGGCAAATGCTCTCCCAGGTGGCCGACAATGATCTTAAGGTTCGGGAAGCGGTCAAACACGCCGTTGGAGATGATGCCCATGAGGTGCAGGTTGACGCCGTTGGCGAAGGACAGCGGCGGGCCGATGAGGTACTTGCGCTCCGCATACAACTTGTCGAACATCACATCCGCAGGCGCCGCAGGGTGGATGTACACCGGCACATCCAGCTCGCAAACAACCTTCCAGAAGACGTCGTACTCGCGCTGGTCGTAGAACTTGTACGTCTCGCCGTTGGGGCCCGCGTGCTGGAAGTCGCAGAGCAGCGCGCCGTGCATGCCGAGCTCCTTGACGCAACGCGTCAGCTCGCGGCCGGCCTGCGCGGGGTCGTGCATCGACAGGCACGCGAAGGCGCCGAGCTTGTCGGGGCGCGCCTTGATCTGGTCGTGAGCCCAGTTGTTGACCTCGGTGGCGCGGCGCTCGGCCTCGGCCTGGTCGGCGATGCCCTGGATGCCCGGGACGGTGAGGGAGATGATGGTGTAGCCGATGCCGTGGTCGTCGGCGAGCTTGACGCGCTCGTCGTTGACGTCGCTGATCTGGCGCATGTAGCGGGTGCGGTCGTTGGGGTTGATGTAGAGGGCGGCTTCGCGGCGGGACTTGGCTTCCATGCCGGCCATCTCGTAGGCCTCTTCGAGTGCGATCTTGCCGAGCATTTTGATGGTTTGGGTGGTTTGTGGTTTAGTAAAGGGTGTTATGTAGATGAGTTGAAGTTGTTGTTGATAGTTGTGTGAGTGTTTGTGATTTGTGTTGGTGATGGCCAAGAGAATTGTTGTCTTTCGAGGTTATCGTCGACGGTTCTTATACTCGACCTCATCCCATATCGAGGTTGATGAAGAGCCGTGGTTTCCACGGAGCTGGAGCAGCCTCCGCGCATCCCGATGTCTTCCGGAGAAACATGACGTCTGGAGCTGGTGAGAGTGAAAGCTCTGTGTCAGTCTGGACCCGTCTATTCCAAGGCTTAAGGCTGAAAGAATGGAGCCGCTTGGATGGTCCGATGGGCGGGATCTCCAGTTGTGCATTGGCGATCAGCCCCGAGCTTCCGGGTGTGATGGGGTCTTCCAATGGGAAGTGCGCATTATCTCCGCGACTTTCCCAAGTCGATGGGTCTGACCAATGGGAACTGTGTCTTACCTCCGCCGACGATCGTGCGATTCCGGTCACTGGCGTCATAGTGTTCCGAAGTGGGTCTTCCCGGCCCGGACCTGCGGGTTTCAACGTAAGATTTCTCGAATGAGATTCGGATGCGGCACTCGGTGGGACAAATAAGTAGTGCATCTTCGTTTTCGCGTTTAATCAAGCTTTTCGGGTGGAGAACATTGGACATGGAACGCGTTCCGTGGACATCTGGTAGTGGATTGTGTCGTTCAGACGTCACTTACTGACTCTTGCTGGTGCAGAAAAAGCGGTCTTTGCTTCCTCCGAAGCAAAAATGGTCTGCAGCACCCTCGATTCGATACTGAATTCTTTGTTCTTGTGATGTAGGTAGTTCGGAAAATTTGGTCTGTTGTTGTCATATCTTTCTTCCGTTGGCCTCGCAGCGAACATTCATCAGGTACACCGCGGCCCAAAGTCGAAGAAATCAGTTGTAAAATAGAAATAAGCCAATGGACGTCTCTTGAGTTTGTGCGACTATTTCAAAACTAGATGCAAATCATCCCCCAACGTTCCACCATCTTGAACTTGTCCCCGTAACCATTTCAGTCGCTCAAGACCATCGGCCTCCTAAAAGTAGGCCAGGGAGTTCCGTCTGCGAGGCTGTTTTTGCAGTCTCCTTCTCCGTTGGTCGCCATATCCGAAACACATGATAAAACGATCAAAGACGGATAATGAATTGATGATGATGCAGTGTTGAGGATGTATGTTAGGTCGGCACTGAATGTCAATTCTCAAGTGCGCCGGTGAAGATGGAGATAATTCGTGTGGATGTTTGTGGTCAATCGTGGCCCAAAAAGTCTCAACGAGGAGAGGCAACGTCTTCGAATTATATGCAATTTCTGAGTTTGCAGTGAATCACCACGGTGCTGTCTTGCTTGCTCTTTTCCGGACGTATCGTGAATGAATCAGAGCCAAGAAAGGTGTCCCAGGCAGTCTTCTCATCGCCTTACGCTGTGTTCATTGGCAGTGAGTCACATATTAAGCTGGCTTGATGTTCGTGTTACGGTGATATGTGTTGTAAAAGCCTCAAGTGAATGAGACTTTCCAGTGCAATGCATGCGTTTCCCATGGTGCGCGTTGGTAAATATATAGGCAGTGAATCGAGGGCAATTGCTTGTGCAACATTAATCTTCCAACCCATACATGAAAGAAGTCCATGGTGTTTATTACGACTTTGATTAAAATTATTTTAAGTATTAGGTACTTAGAGCCAGCAAGATTCTACCACCCCGTAGTACCATCATTATCTTCTATATTGTCTAAATCCTTTCAAACAAACATCGCGGATACATCGTCCGTGCCGTAATAGAGAGCTCACGCTATTTTTTCCAACAGCAAACACACTAATAAGTAATTACAAATAGGTATTATGCTTGTTTGTGTTAATCGATTTCCCTGGATTGGTTTCAGACTATGTCAGGTTCCATGAGTTCAGACCAACTGAGAGTCTGAGCTGCGACATTATTCAGAAAGTTCTGGAAAATGCTTGCAAACGGACACATTCTCAAACAAAACAGAACATGAATGCTATATCTACGAAATCAGCGCCATTCAAAGTTCCATTGATAGGATCGTTCGGATGTCTAATATGGGCCAGTCAGACAAAGCGGCACAGTTTATCAAAAGAATGCGTGCCACGTTGGGGTGAGCGATGGCGGTCCCTGCAGGCCCCCGCCTTTGGCGCAAACAGAGGGGAAATCTGTAATTTGATTGGCCCGCTAAGGACTTTCGCCCAGCAAGCACAAACACCGCAGGCAGGGGCAGCTAAAAATCCACTGGAAATCTAAGGGCGCCTTTACCGGGAAGGCGCCGCGCCGGGGGCTTGCTACCCCCGGAACAATGCAAGGCGACGCTCTGAATGGCCTGAAAGGCAGGAAGAACCCAGAATACGACCCCACTCTGAGCTTAAGTAATGGGGTCTTGCCGTCCGAACTTCAAAACCTTCGCAACCTCATCTCTCCATCTCACCTTTTTTTTTCTCAATCGCCGTTAGCAATCGAGATATCTCAGCATCAATCGCCCGCACCGTCGATCACAACCGAGAAAGTGTTTTCGTCGACGCGGACTAGCATTATACGAGACGACGCCGCCACCATGGACGGTGCCAACGACCTCACCCAATATGTGCGACAACTCGAACTTTTTCGGCATCAGGATCATGCCCGCGATCAGATGATAGGAGTGAGTGACCCGATGGATTTCTGAAATTGAAGCAGATCATGCTTTCTTGTCACACTGGCAACTCCAAATGTCGTCAAAACAGCAACGGTGGTGGCGGCTGCTGCCTCCAAATCACATGATCCGATATCTGACTCTCGGAATGACAGGAAATTCTTACGCGATATGAACACCTTCAACGTGCATATCAGGAAAAATGCGACGACTACAGTAATGAAGTCGAGTCTCGCCGAATGTGGCAGACTAAGGCAGGAACCTACGATAGAGAAATGCAGGCACTAAGCAAGAGTCTCAAGACGACGGTGAGCTTCGGTCACCTCCTGTCACAGAAACGAGTACTGACTGGCCATAGGAATCTAATCCTTTCGTTTTTGTTATTATTGATGGTGATGGCGCAGTCTTTCAGGACATGCTCCTCAAGGCCGGTGCCGATGGAGGCTCCCAAGCCGGGTACCTCCTCCACAACGAAATTATGAACTACGTTAGCGAGGCCTATCCCCAGGCAGCCAGCCAGGACTGGAGCGTCATGGTTCAGATCGTGCTAAATCTCGACGGTCTGGCTAAGAAGCTCCACGCTTGTGGCATTATTTCCAATACTGCTGCTGAGCGCACTTTGTCCGACTTTGGACGTGGCTTTGGCCGTGCTCAGCCCTTGTTCAGCTTCATTGACGTCGGCTCTGGCAAGGAGTCCGCCGATCACAAAATTCGCGAAACTTTGCGCCTCATGGTCCGCATCAATCAGTGCAAGCACATTTTCTTCGGCCCCTGCCACGATAACGGATATCTTCCCGTTCTGGAGCCGTATAAGCTAGACCCCAAGGTTTATCCGCGTCTGACGCTTATCGAGACCACCCCCGCAGAGGAGGGCTTTAAACACCTCAATTTTCATCGAATTTCGTTCAAGTCAGTCTTCAGATCCGAGAAACTCCCCGATCGCGTCGAGCGCCCCAGTGTATCCAGTGTATCAAGCGTTTCTGCCGTTGCGTCGCCTCCCACTGCCGGCATGCAGCCGCTGCCGCCCCCCGTACACGTTCCTACGACCAATGGAAATGGTGGCGCCCTGTTGAGAAGCAACACCAACGAGAGCCAGCCCCAGCGTGTTGCGAGCCCTCAGTCATCGAGCGGTGGTGCGCAGACGCCTACTTCCTGGTCTGTCGTTACGAAAGTCTCGACCGGAAAGACGATTGATATTTCTTCCAAGAAACCCGCGCCTAAAAAGTACTACCTTCTCAACGTTGAGAGCCAGCGCGTTGACGAGCAATTCCCGCGTATCGACCCGAACGTCGAGAAGCGTTTTAAGGAACGCATGACAAAATCTGGCAAAAATCTCTGCAACAATTTTCATCTTCATGGATTCTGCAAGAATGGCGATGCGTGCCCATTTCTTCACGGTGAAAAGTTGAGTCAAGGGGAATTGACACTGCTAAAGCAGAAGGTGAGTCTTGATTATTCCCTGTCACGATATACAGTATGAATGGTTTCCGCTGATGGCCCTTAGTCTCGGGGAATACCGTGTAACGACATGTCAGGCTGTGATAATGCCGACTGCATGCTTGGACACCATTGTCGATGGCTCAAGAACTGCGAACATAGTTCGTGCCGCTTCCAGGGCTATCACGACATTGATACTGTAGGCTTAATTTCCCCGTTGAATCTTAGCGATTTCTCAATATTGACCTGTGCTCTACAGAAACCTCGCGTCAAGGTTTACGAAGATGGAACCACTCAAATGCTCGCGACCTAAGAGTCTGCGTGCTAAAACCACTCACCACTATTGTCTACATAAAGTACTACTAAGATCACACAAGATGCCCAAATGCTATAAGGGAATTTGCCATAAGGGGCCAGGGGGGAAGGATGGTGATATGAAGCTCCACGGCGGCAACAACGGCATTCAAGCTGGCTGGGATGAAAGTAAAGGACACGGCAAATTGGCAACTCAAACACAAGATGCTCACAAGCAGACAATACGAATGCATCTCACTATAACCGTCATATTGACCCATTCCAAGTTCGTTCACGGTCTCACCGTCGTAGCAAACGCAGCCATCCTCACCCTGAGCGTTCCCTCCCCCCAAGAGCCAAATACCAAGGTTCAACCCCGCGCCGACAAGCCCAATCTGACCACATTTCACCTTCACAATGCTGCCTAAACGCACTAGGCAATCCTCAAATCCTATCAACCTCAGAGAGGAGGAGAAACAGCAGAAAAAGAGGACTGCCGCCAAGCTGCGCCTGTGTCAGGTTAACCCCTCACTTGCCGCAACACCTGATTCGCCAGATGCGACGAAAAAAGTAGGCTTCTCCTGCACGGGGCGCCTTAGCTTGCGCGACGAAAAGCACACGTCAGCATTCAATCACTTGTACGCGCGGTACGTCTGCGGAGGAGGATTGTTTGGCTTTCGGATTAAAGTGAGGGCGGATACGAAAGTTCTGGGAGGGTGCAAAGTGCGAATTTCGTTTGGTCAGACTTGGGATCGGGGAGTTCCCGAGATGCAGCAAGAATAGGGCTTAATTGATGAAATGTAAAAGCTCCGCAAAACATGTTTCTCGAAGACTTGTACTTCATACAACGCATTTGCGCTGACAGGAGAGACGAGGTTTTCGAAAATTGAGCAGAACTGAGCCTTGACTATATTGACTCATTCCTTATGAAAGTAAAACAAGAGAACAAGGACTAATCTCGTGGCAATGATGTACAGCAAATTGAATGTTTTCCCCCGGTCGACCATGAGATGTCAAGGAAGGTGAGAGCAGGACAATAAAGCAAGACAATTAATCTTTGCTTGCGACAATGTTGGCTGTACCGATTCTGTCAAGTAAGTATCACTGCATCTGGGCCGTATCTCAGCCGCGGACTTCATTGATGGAGTGCGATGAGTAAGATGTTTCCATTTGGGACAAGGCCCTCATATATCGAAACACACAAACATGGCACCGGGGGTCAAAGCTGTAAGCTAGTTATCTGGTCGACTCTATTGCCCTGTGTGCCATCACTGGAAACTCGAGTATAGCTGAAAAGCCTCATGTAGCTCATCTCACTCCGAATCCTGACTAATAGTCTTCTCTACCGATACATGTAGTCGTCCTCACTATTCTAACTGTTTCGACGAATCAACAGAAGGCTTAGATCGGCTGTGCAGTTCGCATGTCCTGCCTGTGTGGGGCTCCGGACCGAGCACCGATCAGCACAATGAGCGAAGTCAGTTCAGAGCAACAAATCCACATCGTAGAAAGACACCTACAGGAGCCAAAATACCGTATATTTCCGTCGATATGTAGATTATTTGGATACTTTTATCCGTATCTTGATCTTTTCTGGAGTTGTTTCTGGAAGGGCGCTAATAGAAATCTAATCATGGGCCCAGAATTGCAGGTTGAGGAGAAATCATCGTTGCCAAGAGTCGGACGCCTTCATTGTCATGTATGGTTCGCCATGGATCTACAAATACCTATCAGGCAACCAATAAGTATAGCTGCAGTCGTGGGGCGCATGATGCGATGGTGCGTGACGTGTACAGCCGGGGATCATATGTCCTATTCCCAGAGCCTGATCTCATTTCCTGACATTTTCGGTTTTCTCCTCGTTCCGCCGCCACGTCTCCTCTGGCTCTCTTCTGAACTGCAACAGATCGAATCTTCCAGAGATGGCCGAGCCGGTGGGCATAACCGGTACCGCCGCTGGCTTGGTTTCCCTTGGGCTACAGCTTTACGGCGAGATCTCCAGTTATCTCGCCGCATACAAGGGAAGACAGCAAGATCTCGACTTCGCCAAGCTCCAATGCGACAATCTCAAACGGTGCATCGACGCTATCAACTCTGCTGCACTACCCCCGACAAGTGATGCTCTCACCACGAGCCTGGAAAGTTGCCAGAAGGAACTCGATGCTTTGAATGACTTGGTCAAAGGGCTCCAGGATCCATCCTCGCCGGCCACCACGCTATCCGACAAGCTTCGAGAGAAAGGGAAGAAACTAGCGTACCCCTTTCAGCGCGAAGGGTTGAGAGAACTTAAGGACAGACTCGAGTCAACCGTTCCCGTTCTTCAACTTGCAACACAGACCTTGGGATTGTGAGTAAAAACAGAATGACGACATTGATGTACCAGGGTGTTGGACTGATAGTTACAGGGATGTTCTCCTGGCCACCCATGTCGATCTCGGCGAGGTAAGGTTCGCAATGGATCATGTTCGAACCATCACAGAGGACACCCGCACGAGTATCGATAATATCTCGAGAAGCATTGAGTGCATTGGCATATCAACGACCGAATCCAGCAAAATCCTTCCTATCATTGAGGAAAGGACAGCGACTACTTCTGTGTTAATGGCGCAACAGGTGGAGGCGGTATCACAGGTTGGACATCAAGTCTCCAGCCATATTGACGATACCACTCGTACTGTTCTAGGAGGAATATCACACGTTGGTTACCGTCTTGACAAGTTTGAGGAGATTCTTGTCGGGATAGCCGAAGGAATGGCTTCACAGGCCAGCATTGCGAATATTGAAAGTGGTCAGCTCATTGGCGCAGCAAACCCAGCAACCTCGCAGGTAATGTCCGACAGGCTACATGCTTTGACAGACTCAATGGGAAGATTGCCAAAACACGATTTCATGTTGAGAAACGATATCGCGAAATCGGTGTATGAATCTGGTAACGAGACACCACTGTGCAATTGCATCGAATACCGCGCTCAAAAGCATCGCCGACTACAATGGGGCCCAGTTACGGTACAGGCCAAATGGCGAGCGAATATTCGGCATTCAAGCAAGTGCCCCATGGGAAAGTTCATCAAGAACCAATACCAGAGGTCTCATGGTTTCGAGCTTACGATACCTGCTTTGCAATCGCTGACAGGGAAAGCCATTAATGTTTTCTGGTCTCTCTCCAGCGGAACAGGAGGAATAAAGCTGGGGCGGGGGCTCAGCGTAATCAATACCGTCAGCTCTGCAGATTCGACTGTATTTCGATTACTTGAATTTGCAGAGTCTCAGGTAATTACTTCGTGGGAGATTCACACGTATCTGCCAATTAAAGACAGATGGCGGCTCTTGGGAGCTACATGGAGACGTCTCCTTTGGTGCTACGTCAGAGGACAAGGATCCCCGACGGACGTAGATGAGAAAGGAGAGACGTTACTCTATTCATTTCTTCAACGGCTAGGGGTGAGATAACATCACAGGCTTCATTCAAACGTGTCCAAACTAATGAACGTGGGAACAGTACATGGAACTTGAGGACGAGGCCGAGGTTGGACAACAAGCTGTCTGGCTGGCACATTCTCTGCAATTACTTCAAGTTCCCCCCAGGCCAAACAACCATGCAAGCAGGTAAGCCAACCTCCTGTGTGTCTCTATCCTCTTCAAGTCTTACATAACTCCCAAAGAGAATAATAATATTTACTGATTGGATCTCAGCCATCCAGTGGCCCTGGCCATTATGGGGGAATGGCCGACAGAAACCAGCTTATACCACCAAGTGATGCGTAAGCTCGTCAGCCATGACACAGATACTCACGGTCCGTTTCGGCCGTTCATAGACGATGCCAATGCATCACGACGTCACTTTGAGATACTGACAAGTATGCCCGTCACTACGGCAGAAGGTGAGCAACGTGTTCACGGGACGTCCAATCCATGTACTAAGAAGGCAGTGCTCAATTTTCCAGATCTGCAAATCCGTATCCTGAGGCAAGACGAGAGGGGTGTCTCACAAATACTCAAAGACAATCCATCCAGCGTCTCCGAAGTAAATTGCTACGGTCAGAACTCAGTACATATCGCGGTTGGTGTTGGAAACTTGAAGGTTCTCCAAATGATCTTACGGTACGCAGATGCTTTGTCTCTGAACGCCCAGGACTACGCAAAGGGAAGAGGTCGCTATGCAGTTGAATACGCTGCAATATCACAGTTTCACATCGGTTACCGCGATACAGACAATGTTGAATGCAACTGCTGTGATATTTTGGATGCATTGCTTCAGGCTGACTGTGCTTTGTACCCATCATTCTTTCTCAGCATCTTTTTTGGGTGTACCCGAAGTGAAGAGGGGGGCACGGCTGATTGTGCCTTGAGGAAAGTCATGCTCTGCTTGAAAGAAAGACGTCAGAGACTTGGAGAGTACGCAAAAAAGCACCTCGCGCCAACACAAGCCGTAGCATTTGGTATTTATGGCACTAGCGTGCTAGACGAGGCTGCTGGAGACGTCCAAACAGCATTAGAAGAACGCTCCATCTCGATTCCCACCTCTTTAAGGGTTTATGACTCCGACAGCGAGTCTTGGGCGGACCGGAGGTTCAGAAGTATACACACTTACATCTCGGATAGTGCCACTGCTTCGTGCGTGTGGGAGCTTGGATTCAGAGATCTCGGTGTCGATTCGGCCTTGGGAATTTACGAAATATGGGACTCCCTCCTTCGCAGCATTGGCATCCGCTGGGGAAGGTCAAAGGTCGTTTCTCATCTCAATTGGTTGCTCGAGAAAGGCTTGGATCTCGGAAAGCCTTTGCACTGTCCGGTGTATGGCGGAACCAATTTCGCTTCTTGGACAGCATCACATTTGTTGTCGGCTTTTCTGGCACGATATAATGCGTGGAGAGAAGACCGTCGGGAAATTGGCCTTCACCTACGGGGCGAAATCGCTCATGCAGCAACATCCACTAGCGTGTTTGACATATGTCGATGCGCTTGTGCATTGGATGGATGCAGCCCGCTGCTGATGCTACTGGATGGGACAACAGTTTGGGAGAGACAGTGGTACAGGCAGCGGTTACCATTGCCGACGTTATCGTACTACAAAGATCACTTTCAGTGGTTTTGTGATTTTTGGGCGATAGCTGAGGAGTCGCAGCCTTGGGCTAATTCCTCAAAGCCAACGCCTGTCCTTAAATTGATATTAAGATACTTAACCTTCACTGCTTTAGGTCTTCGTCATAGCTGTTGCCGGCTGGCACAAAGCGAGGGAATCCAATACTGGGATAGCGAAGAAGTAGATGAAGTTCTTGAAGAACAAAAGGAAGACATCCTCCGTCTTGAGGAACTTCTTGAGGAGCTGAAGCAAGATTACGAGGAAAGTCCTGACTTAGGTACATTCGTCGACGGTTACTGGGAACCAAAGGTGGGCACGGCGATAGACGAACTGAATGCGAGAAAGCTGGACGAGGACGATATGAAAGCGGCTCGAGAACTTGGCGTTACATGGCACTCTTTCGAGAATGAGATCGAAGAAAGGGATTATTCGCGATCTTCAGATTTGGACTATTGGATGGAGAAGCTGAATACCATTGTTCCAGAGCCGGATTCAGACAGCGATATTCCAATGGCACCGGACCTTCCGGTACGCGATCCATGATCCGACCCCAGGGCTACACTGTGCCCTGGCCAGAATTGATGGGATTGGAAGTTGGCATTTCAAGTACTGCAAAGCAGTACAGCAACTCAAATTTCATTAACATAAGCCGTGAGATGAGAAGCAATATATAACGACTGGTAGTCTGAAAACTGTGACAGAAACACATGCGCCGGTGATGAATTTGTCAGTGCTGGGTCATGGGTGTGACGTCAAAAGGTCATTGATTATCGAAGAGTCTTTTCTACCATGTACATTATTACCAATACGTCCCGTTCACGGGGTATGACGTTTGATTGCATCACCAGCAACTATCAAGCCTGCTGTACATCATGCAGAAAAGTCCCTGCGACTTCTAAGTTCGATCCCGCCGTTCCCTGATACTCTGTTGTCTGATGCCCCACTGCGTTCGTCGTAGTCAACTGTAACTTCCGTGGTTCTTACTATGCCTTGCGGCAAGATGCGTCGATCGCTGTCTCCGTCGTCCCTCTTGTCGTGATCTTCCACAGTTGTTGCACAACCAGCTGAAATGCCTTGGTTCTGAAACTTGCTTAAATTATCTGATCGTATATACGCGCCAGAGGATGGGTATCCTGTCTCGCGTTGGCTTCGAATGTTGCGGAACAGAACTCGGAGAACCGGAATAGAGGCAGCAATGATGGTGACGTTTGGCTCTGCTTCGACCCAGACATGGAAGATGCAGAGTTTCCAGAACACTATGAGAAACACAGGGAGTCAGTCCTGTTATTGGATCATCCTTCCATCAAATCATTTTATAGTCAACAATTGCAGGTGGACTTACGATTCGGTGTAGTTGGGTCCAAGACAATGATGCTTTGCACGGCCTTCATAACTCCCATGACACCAGCCCTGTTGTAAGTCAGTTTGAAGGACTTCCTAGCCAGTCAGAGATGACGTACAAGACGCCCATGCTCATGGCGATTGCGACGCCGACCTTCTCATGCTTATTCATCTGCAAGCCCATGACTATCTTCCACGGCAATAACGCCAACAAAACATCTGCCGCAGCCGAGTAAACTGTCGAGTCGTAAGCTTGGCTCAGAACAGAATAACTTAACCAGATATGAAGCACGCACATCCACCAACAACACCAAGCGCAGTCGCGTTCGGAGATTCCCAGCACGACACAGGAAGATGGGGTGTTGTATCCCCAGATACTACAGGGCAGATCGGGCGCCACGTCAGGATGATGTGAATGATGAACTGAATGTTCATGGTGATGACGAGAAACCAAATGAAGTATTTCTGTCGGGTTGACGATATTCGAAGCAGTGTGACAGCAAAGGAGGTCTTCGTCAAACCTAGGGAGACTTTGTGACAGTTGTCGTAAACGTAGATCAGAGTTTTCATGGTAGGGGTAACGTTGTAAGTCCGAGCGAATCCCAGACGCATCAGCTCGCTCAAGAAGGACTGTGACGCGATGAGGAAGACCCAACCTGCTATCAACAGCCAGTCGTCCAGCCATACCGTCCACCGAACTCGGAAGGCTTTGCAGTATATCCTCAGCGCATAAGAGTAACATGTTCCACGGTCGCACGAAGTATTCCTCCAATTGTATCGGTACGTTTGTAATTGCCAACGCAAGCGAAGGTCTCGCCAGTAGTGCATGCCGGGGATCCTTGAAGCTCCACACGCGCTGCACTGTGTTTAGAAGTCCAACATCTTACCTTAGCCAACGTTCTGGACTCAGTTGTGTGAACTCATGCCGAATCTAGCAAAAAAACATCTTTCTGTGAACTTCTTCTTGTTCTCCGTACTTGCGAAGTTTTCTTTATTCCTGCTTAACCTTACATTTAATGCAAAGCGACACAGGTATGTTGGTGTGTACCATTGTTGGTCACTCGCTTCTGCATGCCAAGTGCAACTTGCATCTATCCTGGTGAGAACCAACAAGCTGTTGGTGCAAGCAACCGGGCTCATCATTCGGCTTCCGGTGATACAAGGTGCAGTAGGGCGGCACAGCTTATTGCCCGCCACATTGGCGCACCGCCAACGGTAAAATTGCCGTCCCACAAACTAGACTCCTGTCGTATTTACTGAATTGTCGCAAAGAATGGCCCAACCAAGATGATCGGAACATACCGTGAAAACCTGTTAGAGCCGGAATCCGCTCACGCATGTATGCTTGGTATCCGTAGGCCCAGTTCACACTGGAAGAACTGCTTGGCCAACCCATACCCTGTCAACAGGGGTCCAGCGGATTGCGACTTTAACAAATCTTCGTGGTATAGTACACGGACACATCCAGATGACCGGAAGATGCATAAACCCAATCGAGAAGGCGGCAAACTGTTGTACGAGAGCCCCAGGGGCTAGAGATCCAATTTTGCTGCTGACCCAGCTCTTTCTCGCCTCGATGCACCTCGGTTTCGCTTTTCTTTTCGTATTGCAAAGATTGGTCCAAACCGTCTCGGAGAGATCGAGTCTACCACTTTCCACGCCTTTTTAAAACCCGTGATACCCCGAAAGATGTGGTAGATGTCCCTACCAATACACACTGTCATCTTGCCCAGAAGGACTTCTCCTCGGCTCCTGCTTCGTTTCAATCATGGGCCTCTCTTCAATTGTTTCCGGGTACTTGTTTCTTACCGGCTTTGCGGTCGGCCAAATCGAAGTTGGCTTCCAATCACACACCAGGCAAGCCCCGCCCGCGAGCGGGTATCCAAGTGTATGAACCCCGATCTGTTCCTTTCAGGAGCGCAGAGGGCGTCGAGCCATCTGGCGGCCATAGCCGGGATTTTCTAACAGCCGACTGACATTAATTCATTCGCAGTGCGATGCTGTGATTGCCGCTGGACTCTCCGACCGAGTGTTTTTCCCGTTGGACCAGGAGTACAATTCCAGCGTCACGTCCTATTGGTCTGGATCAGCTGCTTCCCTTCGCCCATGGTGCATTGTCAAGCCTGAGAGTGCTGAGGAAGTCTCCAAGGCATTTTCAGCACTCGTCAAGACGAGTCCTGCGGGCAACTGGGACATCGCGGTTCGCGGCGGAGGCCACTCCCACTTCCCCTCGAACATTGTGGCCGAAGGTGTGACCATTGACCTCAGCCGCATGAATTCAACGGTCTACAAGAATTGCAGTGTAAGCTCGGACTCTTCCAATTCGCTGCTTTCTTGCGGCAAGAACTCAACCTCCGAGAAGGGAACTTTATCCATTGGACCCGGTGCCAGGTGGGCTGGCGTCTACGAGGAAGTTGAGAAGCATGGCGACTTGACAGTCACAGGCGGTCGTGGTGGCAATGTCGGCGTTTCTGGCCTGACCCTCGGAGGTGGCGCATCTTATCACACCGGCTACCGTGGTTTCGCGTGCGACGACGTGAAAAACTACGAGGTGGTTCTCGCAGACGGCACCATTGTCAACGCCAACGCGGGCGAAAATCCAGACTTGTATAAGGCTCTGAAGGGTGGCAGCAACAACTTCGGTATCGTCACCCGCTTCGACATGCAGACGTTCGCTTCAGCCCCAGGAGGTCTTTACGGCGGCCTCATTTTCATGGACTATGTCTATCGCGATACTGTCATGAAGCAATTCGTTAGGCTGATTGACATCAACGAGCAACATCCAGAAGACACTGAGGTTGTCACCTTCACCTACTCAGGAGAGGGCCCCCCAATGATTGCTATTGTTGCGATCAACACCGCCGGCGTTTCTAACTCGACCTCCTTTGCGCCTCTGTCTACTCTACCAACCATCCTTGACGACCGGAAGCGGAAGACTTACGGTACTGCCATCACTGATCACATCGCGGTCGGTGGCCCACGGTACGAATCTTCAACCCAAAATGGCTCATCTTCGTGCTGACATTCCGAAACAGGAGTGCCTGGTTCTCGATCTGTTTCCAGAATGACATCGAGGTTATGAACAAGATGGCAGGGCTCTACGACCAACTTCTCGTTGACCTCAAGGCCGTGATTCCGTCCCCAGACCTCGGTGTTGCCTTCGTGAGCCAGCCCCTGCCGAAGTATTTCGCGACCACGGGAAGTGGCAACAACGTCCTGGGTCTCGACACCTCATTGACACACGATTCGATTATTTGGCTTGGCCAAGTCAACACTCGCACTGCTGAGCAGGAGTCACTGGCCCAGGCCAAGCTGGCGGCTGTGACTGCCGAGCTCGAGGCCTTTGCCGAAGCCATAGGCAAATCGACCTCATGGCGTTACTTGAACTATGTTAACCCCGCCCAAGATCCCATCAAAACGTATGGGGAAGAAAATGTCAAGTTTTTGAAGGAAGTTGCAGCAAAGTACGACCCGACTGGCGTGTTCCAGACGAGGGTTCCTGGAGGCTTCAAGATTTCGAAGGTTTTTTTGTAATTCAACTTGGAAACTACTGTTGCGCCTTCTATCTTTTGAGCCCAGCCACGCCCAATTCTGGGAGATTTACGCCACACTATGGAAAAGTCCTGTTTATGCTTCGATAGATATCTACTAAACATCATGATGCTATCTACGATAACCAGAAAATGGAACAATTGCTATGTAATATCATGTGGGTTTCTGCGACAATCCAGTCATCATGATGGAAATTAAATGCTTCCGACAATTCGGGTTTTTTTTTTTTCGCATTTTGCCCAATAGGGTAAGCCAGAAGGGGCGGTTGGCGAATATGATCAATGCCACCGACCCCGAGAAGTGACCCGAAAGATGAAAAAAAAACTTTGAGGCAGCAAAGAATGTCGACACATAAAAATACTCATTCTTTTTTTCCTTGTTAGGTTGTTCAGTGGTTGCCCCCATAGGGTACTTGACGTTCACACTGTAGTACCGAGTCAGCGTTGTCTACCGGTGCTCCGTCCGGACTCGACGTTCTCGTGAGAAGCCGCATGTGGCTTTGTCAAGATGCAATTTTCGAACATTTATTGATTCGTCTTGGCGGTGATCACCACACAACAGCCCCGGGTTCCACCCATTCGTTTGCTGCCCAATCAGGCTAGGTAGGTGCCTGGTCTGACAGGGGTTCGCGTCTCTCTGGTCGCGCTAGACTCTACGCGTGACGTACACAAGCCGGGGTGCGTTCCGCATCACCCATTGAACGTTTGCCCAACCCTTTCCACAGCTCAAACCATGCAACACCATTCATTCGCTGCTAACATGGATCTGGACAACCAGCATCAGGAGGGCAATCCTTCTGAGAGTCTACCTCAGCGCAAACCACTCTCACGTCAACAGCGCTACCGTCTCAATAAGAAGCTCCGGCAGCAGCAAGCTCAGAGCAGCGAGGCCCAGAATAACCAGCCTCAAGGGAACCAGTCTGAAGGCAACCGACCTTTGGGCAAGAACAACGCAAAGAATAAGCGACAGCGTCAGAGAAAGCGGCTGCAGCGGCAGCAAGCCGAGAACAGCAAGGCCCAAAATGGTCAGCCTCAACCCGCCCATCCTCAACGGAACCTCCCCCAGGACGGCCAGCATCAGAACAGCCAGCCTCAACACAATCAACCCCAGAACGGCCAGCGTCAGGGGAAGGCGCCTCAGGGCAATAAACCGCGCAATGATCAACCTCGAAACAAGGTTCTGGAAGAGCCTCCCGCCTGGTTCGGTCGCGTGAGCCAATGGAACGCCGAGAAGCCCAGCGTATGGAAAAAAACGCTAGATGAGGTGTTGCAGGAGGAGAATGATCTCTCAGACTGGGAGTGCAATTGCAGCAAGGAACCGAAGAATTGCAAGTGCAAGCAAGCGCAGATCTTCTTACATGGTGAAATGGCGGCCTTGAACAAAGATTTCTTGAAATACCAGGAGCATCGTAATGGCCTGAAGAGAGACCTACGCATTGAAGCGTACGAAGAGGCGGAAGAGATGAAGGAAATGGTGCAGGCCGAGAAGGCGAAGGTTTCTGAAATACAGGCTGCCATCAGGGGTATCAAAAAATCCGAGACCGCAAGTGCGAGGATACCCATCGGCATAAGGGGATGCGTTTACGACCTGCACTGCGTCGAGCTCTACCAGCTCCTTGCAGATGCCCAGGATCGCGAAGGAAACGAGATAGCCTTTTTCGAAGATTGGGAAACTAAGGAGGGGACCGACGATTTTGATCCCCCCCTACGACCAGAGTATACTCGATCGTATGGGCCCTCAGGGTACACACCGGGAACGAAACTCTTTGCCTTCGTGACACTCAACGACGTTGTCTACGACGAGCCTGCATGGTGCTCAAACCCGTTCTCCGGTCCTGAGTACGCTGGCAGGTGCATCATCCGCAGGTACGGTGGTGAAAACCAGGGTGAAAATATGGAAATCACTTTTCATAACAGCGACTACCTCGAACTCAAGGTTTATGCCAAGACTGTCCTCGGATTCTGCGATGGAGACAAAACGCAGAAGGAAAAGTTCAATGACTACTTTAAGAATGCCAAGGACCAAAAGAAGAACCAGTGTTTCCACTTTTACGGCGTCCGCCGGAAAGGGACACCTTACGGGTCATCTGAGGAAGGATCCGAGGATGGGTCTGAAGAGGGATGTGAGGAGGAATTTGAGGAAGGGTCTGGGAACGAATACGAGCAAGACTCTGAGGAAGAATATGAGGAAGAAACGGTGGATAGAGCCTTCAAACAGTATCCGCCATGGTTCTACCGCGTGTTTCGCTACGAACAAGACAGATTTGGCACAGAGCGACAATACGACGCCGTCCCTGGATGGATTTTTGACGAAGATCTCTCGGACTGGGAGTGCGATTGCAACAAGGATCCGGAAGACTGCAAATGCTGGCAACCTCAACTGAAAATGCGCGCTGGCGTTGACGAACTGGATGAAAAATTCTGCGAGGTCCAAAAGGATCGCAATAAGCGCAAGCGGGATCTGCGTATCAAGAGGTTCAATAGAGAAAAGGCAGAGGCGGAAGGGCCAAGACGAACCCCGACATGGTTGTTCTTGGAGCATAAGATCGCCAAGGCTTCTCAAATCCAAGCTGCCACCAGGGACATCGAGAACTCCAACGCACCGAGAACGAAGACACCCATCAGTATCAACTGCCGCGAATATGATCTGTACTGCCCTGAGCTGTGTCGGCTCGTGAATCGCGACGGCGTGCTCATGGACGAGAGCCTTTATTTCGTCGATACATGGTGGGTCGACAGGGTCGACAAGAGGCGTCTCGATTCGCACTACGATTACCTTGACTGGATGGACAAGACCCCCGAGTATACAGAGAAGAACCTCTGCGCCTTCATGTTTCTTGGACAATTAAGATCGAAGAGTTATTATTCAAAGCCTTTCCTCAACCCTAGATATACTGGCAGATACAACGTCGGTTGTTGGGGACTTGAAGATGCCGACATCGAAATTACCTTCCACAGCCAAGACTACCTCGAAGTCAAGCTCCATGCCAACGCCATTCGCAGGAATTTTGGATACGGGAATCCTGGCTTGGAAGAAAGACTTGCTGACTATTTCCAACTCGACACGCCTTATCTCCGTTGGTACGGCGTCTTGCGGACTCCTGAAAGAGAGATTGCGCTGATTGAGGAGGAACATCGTTTGAAGGATAAATATAGGGCATCAATCCCTCCGCTCCAAGCCTTCCGTTGAAGCCGCTCAGGCCAGATACTTGGGCTAACAGGGTGTGCATGGAAGGAATGGTTGATACAATTTTGAGCTAGGAGTGCTTAGGGATCGGTTTCAAGCGGCTTGCGCAGATCGCAAATGGCAACTTTTAGCTATTATTCAGCACGGCAAACATGGTCGAGATTGATTGTTCTGTAAGCTAGAGACTCAGCTATGATCATTATCAACTTTCAAGCTTGCCTTCCATACAGCCTCAACTCTCCCCTGGCTGCCAGGCGATCTAGATCTTCCAACTTTGAGGCGATGACTTTGTTGAAACCCTCGATGTCCTACTTTCCCATTGCACGCCGTGCTTTTACAGAGTTGCGCATGTTTTCAATCATAAGAATCGGCAGGATGACGCCATCGGACACATCTATAGTGTCGTCGGTGCACATGTACGTCTTGATCTCCATCAACGTGGCCGCGACAGCGTCTATCAGTACACTGAAGTCACCCAAGGCCTTCTGGACGACCTCTTTTGGGCTGACGACATCTAAGGCTTTGAAGTCCTCGACGATGGGAGCATCGTACCAATGCTTCATGTTGTAGCAATTATCGGGCAAGTTGTCTGGGTCCCGAGACTGGGCGATGACGCAAGATATGTCGGTTGATTCAGATTACTGAACAATCTGTTGTCGCGGGACGATCGGGAGCTTCTCTTCTGGGACTCTCACCGTAGCCGTGACCTCGCCCCAGAAGTTGTTCTTGTCTTTTTCACGGATCTTCCAGAAGATGGTCTTGTCCTTGACCGTTCCGATGCCCAAGTCCTCGTTGGGTGTACAGGTCTCGGCGAAGGTGTCCCACCAAACGTTCTGGGCATCTCCCCATGGGCTCTTGATGGGGCATTCGTCGACGCAGTGTTTGCAGGTATCGCCATAGAGCCCGATCTTGTCACAGCCAGCGCAGCAAGTGTATTGCTCCCTAACGTCGCAGTCAAATAATCGGCACTATCATCTCTCATGAACTTCTTGAGGGTATCGGCACTGTTTTGTACCAGATAATCGGCGTAGATCTGGAAGTGTTTGTCGTAGTCGCCCTTGATGATCTCGTGGTAGCGTTTGAAAGCTGCTTGGAGTGTGGCCTGGCCAACTTGAATAACATACTGAGCCGCGCACGTATCCGGAAGGCGTCGACCAACTTGTCGAAATTGTCAAAGGTCTCGTCGCACACAGGAAGGCTGTTGTCATCGTCTGGATCGGGGTCGTAGTCCTCACCACCGCCGCTGTCACCGCCACCACCGCCACCACCGTTACTAGATCCGGGCTGCACGGGCAAGTTGGGATTCCCAATGTCGCCATCGTCTCCAGTTCTATCAGTCATGGCGCAGGAAGGATTGAACCAAGTCTCCGCCTGGTTGTTGAAAGTCCCGATGATCGAGTGCATGTCTGTCTGCTCTACCGTTGCCATCCAAGTCGGGATAGTACATGCAGGTTCCAGCATGATTTCCGTCGTAGACAGGGTCGGAGATCTTTCTCCAAAAGTAGAGAGATCCACCAAGGTCCCCGCGATTTTCACGGCCGCCGTTGTACCACACGTAGCCATCGCCATTGAACTTGTCGACCCAGAGCATGTCGTCTTTGCCGTCCCCGTTGACATCAGCCCATCTCAAGTTGGCACGGTCTTTGCCCTCTTGGAACTTGACTTGCCCAACATCTTCCCACGTACCGTCGTCTTTGTGGACCCAACCTGAGACATAGCCATTCGGCTTGATACACAGATAGTCGCCTCTCTTGCTGCCATCAATTTTGGCGAACCGGACAGCCACTATCTAATGTCAGCCTTCGCCATATCTAAGTCGCAATTATAACGGGAAACCTACAGTCATGGATTCCAAGTCCCTTTCTCTCGTTACACTGAACCTGGGGAGCAGGGTTGGCTACGTAGGTCCAGTCCCAGCGTCCAGGCAGAGGATAAGTGTTGAGCCAAACCTGCGGAGAGTTGTTTTTGTCCGGGGCGGTGTAGACAATGTCGCAAGCACCATCTCCGTCCCAGTCAACAAGGTAAAGGTCGCGACGGTCGGCGTCTTTGAAGATCCACTTCTGGGGAGACCAGATCACTTCGGTCATCGGTCCCCAGAATGACTCGTCCCCGGAAATTTGGGACTTTCCCGCGTTTGAATACAAGGTCATTCGTCCCGTAGACAGAACCCAGACATAGTCTATCCGGCCATCGGTGTGCCCAAGTATGTTGTAGTACTTGTTACCATCTACAGATTTATGCCACCGCGAGCCACGTTCTTCCAGACGTGGATGTCGAATTTGTGCTTTCCGTACTCCCACGCCTACAATCTACGATATTACGTCAAAGTGAGAATCCACCCTCAACTCACTCGCCGATGTCATGACAGCCACGTTCGAATGGCGGTCGACGTATCAACGAGCCCAAGAAGGATGATAGGTTCAGAAGACTCAGGGACGGGCGAAAGACCTACGTTGGCGTCTGGACCGATCTGGGCTACGCGGTTGAGAAGGGAAGAATTGTGGGCGCCACAAAAGACGTCTCAATCACGCGTCACTTGGCGAAAAAAGTATAGAGTGAACTGCGATACCTACTTATACGGGTTGACCAGACTGCCAACATCAATGGGGTTCTGGCGAGTGTTGCCGAGTATCGCAGAGGAGATGCGAATACCAAGCTTATGGATCACCTCAAGGGACGAGTGACTGACGTCGTCTGGGAGACGGTGAACCGCGAGGCAGAGTACCGGACGAATTACGACTGGCAAGAGATTGAATGGGAGAAGACGATACAGAGCAATCCGGTCATGAAAGACCCAACGAGTGAACTATTCAACCAGGTCAAATATCAACTTGAGCGGCATTCAAAGACTGCAGAATCCCGAAACGCGAACACAATCAACGCGAAAATGGCTTCGACCATTAAGACGTGTTTTGTTAGCATCAAGGAGTAGGCCATCATCAGCTGTGCACAGGGCACTTTGGGGTACTGGACAACGGCACCGGTGCTTCGTAACGGTAGACGGATGCTTTCACGATCAGGTAGAACCAATCTAGCTGCTTCACTTCGGACAATGACAGCAAGACTGCGAGACTGCGGAACCCCGGGCTGTCATTGGAAGGATGCTGACGAGACATTTATGTTGATTGACATGTGTTCCCTGTGTCCGTGGGCTTCAGTAGCATGAGCTTTATATCGCGCGCCGCATTTCCCACGGCATCTTAGTCCCGCGTCTAATCCCACTCAGATGCGCTAGCTTCCCCCTTACTGATGCTCATCGTCCGTCCACCGGCGGCGACCTCTTCGACGGAGCCCCTTATTTGTTTTCTTCAGCTCGGGCGCTGACTGACCACCAAAAAGATCCATGAGTCGGACGGGCCCAAGTCGCGGCTTTCGGCACCGCCTAGCTCGGGCTCGGGAACCGGCACCGACTTAAACCTTTTCAGGCAAAGCTGAGGCAGCCAGCCACAGCCGATAGATCATGATCTACGCTAGAACCGCCAGGTACGCCTAGCCGCCATTCCCCCTTTGTGCCGCATTTGCATTCCCAGCGTGTCTCTTTGACCTAAAAACAGCTCAATCCCACGTGACCTCGTGTGTAGGCGTAATTTGAGATTCCCCACGCGAGGTTTGCGCCCGAGGCAAAATGCCTCTGCCGTCTCTCTCGATGACACTTGTAATTCAGGTAGCGAAAACTCTACTAGACTCCAGGCAACAAGACCTGCTGCCCTCTCAAACAGGAAAGAAACATCGGACAACCCGCACCAGTCGTTCTCTTGAGTTTCGTCCCCACGCAGGTCTGGCGTCTTGGCCTCTGATGTCGGCGAGGAAAGAAAAGCCTAAACCTCCCTGGGACGCAGACCAGACACGTCGGTTTTATCTGTCGGACGGACAGCGGACACGCGACATAGCAGAGCAACTGTGTGGGTGTGTGTGTTGTGCAGCCCTGCCCGCTGTAATATTGTGTTGGTCTTCACCCCAGGTGCCGGGTGCCGAGAACACCGTTCGTGGATCATCAGAGCCGTGCAGCGGCAGACCCAGGGCCCCAAAAAGAAACAATCACCCCGCATACTCTTTGTTCCACCTTTGTAACGCGACCAAACCAAACGTCCCACCCCCTAAAACGGGTTTGACGGCAAGATTCAGACTACCATGATTGGGCCGCCGGTGTCGCCAGGGGTACCAGGGCAAAATCGGCTCAGGTAAGGCCAGGTCGGGCGTGCTCAAATGGACCGGGGGTGGGATTGCATTTCAAGACGACTCGGTTGCCCTGTCTCTCGCTCAATAATGAGCGAGGGTTTTACAGAACTGTCTGAAGAGCATCGGCGGCCGAAGCTTTGAAGCACGGATCCCGCGGCCACCACACCAGGACGCCTGACACCTAGCCAACCTCACGGCGCAAGGAGCTATCAGATCGGTGAGACGCTCGTAATCAACGGGACGAGGCGCTCATTTCATTCCTTTCGAGATTAGCGCTGATGCGCTCCTGGCGAACACCCGTCCTTGGTGTTTTATTTCCGTCCCTTCTTCTCTCTTCACCTGCTCGTTAGCCTTGGCGATGGTCCTTGTTATATACTTTGGTCCTCACCCAGAGCTGTAAGACATATCCGTTTATGGCACACGCCACGATCAACGACTCGACGCCTTCCACAATCCGCTTTCAACAATGGCGTCTGTCACTGAAGCCCTCCAGGGCAGGGGCATGCCCAAGATCGAAACCATTCAGAATGGGCCCATCTCCGGTCTCCTGTCATATGGCTCCCTGCTCTTGGTCTCCAGTGTGGTCGTCGTTGTCCTGATCGCCAACATCCTCGAGAGATGGCTTCTTCGCATGGTCTACGGAGAGGTCTACAAGACATTGGAGCGCCCAGAAAACGAGAAACGCCGTCGATCATTCACATACTACCATGTCGGCGCAATCATCATGTTCGCTCTCTTGTGCATCGGCATCTATCCCGTCATGCACTTCCTGACTGGAACCGCTGGATTGGGGACCCCAGTGGTCCAGGGACATCGTCTTCGAATCGGCGATATGCTCTTCACTGTTTCGCAAGTCTACAGCGCCTACTACGTCTTCGAGCTTTGCTTTCGCACACAATTTGCCAGCCCACTCAGCATCGCGCATCACATCGGCCTCTTGGCCATCACACAGACTGCCCTGTCTCTGTTTGGCAACTTCGTAGAGCACCCAGAGGCAACGATCGAGTTTTACATGTGCATGGTCTGGGGTAGGCGTCCTTCCTTCTCGGTAGTGATCTATCGTGTCAGCTGACAGTTGTATTCTTCAAGGCGCCTTTGACGTGGTGGTCGAGCTCCCTATCTACGTGTCCATGATCCTTTGGAGGGTAAGACGTAAGGACCATCGTCTCCTCTCTTACCTGGCGTACGGCTGTTTCGGTTGGATCCTTCTCGGAGCCGTCCTCGAAACTTCGATCACGATTTACCTTTTGCACCGTTCCTGGAACCGGTGGGGACGGGTATGGCGAGTCGTTACTCCCCTGATCTTTTCCCTATGGATCACAACTCAACTTTACGGCGCGTCAAGACTCTTCCAGATGGCGCGATCCGAGCAGAGAAAGTTCCT